TGATCCCAGAGTCACCAAATCATCCCTGGTCCTGTTGACAAATCTGTCCAGTTTGTGGTTGAACCTTGGAAGCAGGAGGTCCACATCCAGAAGCCCCCCCAGCTGTGAGAGCTCAAAACACCTCCATGTGAAGAAAGCACACATCAGAATCCAAAAACAGTGATGATGGTGGTGCACGGTCTGCCAATTTTCCTTGACTGACCAACTAAATCCTAGTTAGATGACATTGTAGCAGAGAGGCCATCTTTCTATGCAAGTCCTTCTGAATGCCTACAATATTTTTTTTCTACATGAAGGGGGAGCAAAAAAAAAAAAAAACACCAAAAATCCAACCAGGTGAGCCCATGCACCACTGCTTGAAAGACTTGCACCCAAAGCTGGCATACACTGATGCAATCACATCAACTGTATAAAGTTTAGCAAATGCATGCATAGACAACCAGGTGGTCTGTAATGGTAGATTAATATCTAATCTTCATATCATACAAGTCCCATCAATTGAATATTTTTTATTCGTTTTCAATGTGTGCGCGCGCACCCACATTTTTAACCCCTTCATGACCAGCAATGTACAGTGTACGTCACTGGCATCTAGCATGTTTAAAACAGACTACCATCGGCTTTTGCCCCCCGGGACACTGTTTAAACTTGTAAAGACGCGCGTCGGCTCAACTGCCGCTAGATCACTTCTACAGGACGGTGAACGAGTCCCCCCCGCCCGACAGCCCCACCGTGTCTCCCGGGCTCCGTTGCCCCTCGGTGCCCAGGACCGACTTCTTTGGTGTCGGGGGAAGAGATGGATGAACCTCCATTCATCGATCCCCTCCCTGTACTATGGGACCCGAAGTGACGTGTATTGAATCACTTCCGGTTCCATACCTGTCAACGCTGGGCACCTGAAGCCCAGCTCTAAGCTATTGAAGTGCTATTCCGTGCGAGTCTTCTTGCACATTCCCCTGAGCTCCCGTAGTCCCTGCGTGACTCGTTACCCCGTGTGCGCGCGCTCGCTGTATCGGAGCTCCAGTGCTATGCACTATGCCTTGTGCACTTCATCCCCAGCTAGCACGTTTCCTCTGTGCATCTCCCAGTTTTGACTTAGTCACATCTTCCTCATGCTCCCTGCGAGACCCTGTATATTCAGTTAGTGGATGGTGATCAGTAAATTCTTGCACCTGCATTTACCTGCGAGTCTGTCTTCCTCCTGTGTGGCTGCATATCCTATGCAGCCTCCTTCCTCCATAACCTTCGGATAGCTGTATTGTGCTGTTTCGCTGGTGGTCCCTTGTGTATGTTCTCTCTATATTGTTCCTAATCTTCACTCTGTGCTTCTCTGTACTCTTACTTCAGCCTGTCTACAGGCTTCTCCCCTGTGACCAGTGCCCCGGTGCTGCAACTAGCCTTTTGAGTCTGTCTGGGTGCGCTAGAGGGCTGCAACCTGGAAGCACAATCATCCTCACCACTGGGGGCTCTGTGGAAGACCCGGCCCTTCTTAGGCACTGCACCTCTAGTGTGTCCAACATTTTTTTTACACTTATCTTTATTGCGATCACATAGAGGGCTCTCTGTATGATAGCACAGATACAGTGCCAGGTCCTCTTTTATGGAGACATCAGGGGTCTATTAGACCCGTCTCCTAGGTAACCCAAAGAAACCGAAGAAGCAGACTAGCTTTACCAGCTTCTTCAGCTACAGCAGCCAGAAAACATGAGTTGATTACCTGATAACTCTGTTTCCAGGAATCTTAAACTGTCACCGCTCCGCCTACCGACCGGTAAGTGCCCGATATACTCCTAGGCATCTGGGACCCTGGGCTCCTCAGCCTCCCCGTACCTCCATGCTGCCCCTGTTGTTGCCAGACTGATGTCCACAACAGGGGCACCGCACACTCCAGGTCATCGCACCTTGCCACTGCTGTACACCCGGGGGGCCACCATCTGGCGCCTACTCACGTGCAGGAGGATGGTTGCCTTCCCTGAGTGACGGAAGGGAACCTTGGCCAAGAATCGGGTGGGGGGTCCGATAGGGAATCCCTGTATGCACTGCAGCAGGTAACCCTGGAGTAGGTACCAATGCATAGTAGGGTAAGGCTCAGCCCTAAGGCAAACAAACATGAGCCCTTTTAAAATAACAAACATTACGATGTCCCTGTGTAGCCGACGGAAACACAAAAAAATAACTGACTTGGGATGGAAGGAGGAGTCTATTTATTTAATGTGGTTGATGTGTTTCCTGTTGCAGGTAGGCGGAGCCTATATCTCGATGGCTGTCCTGGAAGATGACTGGGGAAAAATGACACACTGAAACCAAAGTGATGTAATGCACATTACTTCCGCATTCAGTGTTCGAAGGGTAGATCAGGCTGATCTCCCTCCACCCAAGCAACAGATCCCAGGATAGCCGGCAGGGGCGCACACACTCCCCCGCACCATACAAGCGATCAGGCACTCTATAGCTGCCCGAACGCTTGTATGTAAAAGCCGTCGCCAGCTGAGGGGCGAGCAGGAAAATACGTTTAGAAATGCCCACTCACCATCAGGAGCGAGCCTCCCAGCTGTTTAATTACAATTTTTCATTCGTCAAAAGTTTCATTAATTGAACACATATTGGGACTAATTTTTCGTGTATTGGTTTAATATTTTTACATCTTACTTTAGGATTTGTAATATTAGGTATGAATTTGGGTATTTTTGAATATTTTATACTAACGCTACTTGTAAGTTATTTTTCTTACAGGTGAAATTTAAATAAGAATATTTTTACTATCTTTTAAAATGCCTCACCAGACTAACAAGCATTCACAACCTATCTGGGTGCTTAAAAACCCAAGGGGGGGGGGGGGGTGGAGAAAAAAAAAAAAAAAAATCGGTGGTACAGAATACTAAGAATACAAGGCATTCTGTGGTTGAATGAGATCTGATGCCACATCCCCTCCTCCTTCAGTAACAGAATGCCTTGTATTCATTTAAAAAATACAAAACATTTTGTGAAAATCGGCAATGGTGAGGAGGGGCAGGTGATGCAAGCGCAACTCTACTGCTCCTGGTTTAATCCAGGGGGGAGAAGATCAGTGGATGATGGCTGGTCTCTCCTGATACCCATCAACACCTGCGACGCCGTGCGCAAGGTAGGGGGTGTCTGGCAGGGTGGTTTCCAGCCCCTTGAAGTGATCTGGTGGCAGAATCACTACGAGTATAAAAAAAGACAGTCAGCTTTACACAGGTAAACAGACTCCCAGCAGTTATAACCATAGGGAGTTTGTTTACAGGGACCTGCTATCAGCAACATATGACATAAGCCGCTGGCAGCACAAGTGATAAATGATACAGGTTTAACCCTTATATTCCCCCTAAAGGGGTTCTAATCATAGGCACCAAATTTGAAACAGTATTCTAACTGCATACATTTTGAAAAAAGGTGATAATAAAAAAAAAAAAAAAAATTCAATAGGATTTCTGACATGCTTGCAAAATTTGTTTCTTGGAGCACAGTACATGACAAGCAATATGCAGCTATCTCCAGGTGTTTGTGCACTGGCAAGAGCTGTGATGAAACTTGTATAACCCCTCCCACTCTAGTAAAATCAAGGGGGTTTTTTAGCAAGCAATAGAGGACATAGAGGGGAGGGTGCCGTGTCTTCTAGTGTACTCCAAGAAACTATTTTTACTGGCAAGTCAAAAATCATATTTTCCTGATCCTACAGTACAGGAACAGGCAATTCAGAGTAGAGCTGCAGCTAACGATTATTTTCAAAATTGGTTAGCCGATTAATCGGATAAAAAATAACATACATTTTAAAAAATGGCTCCAGTAATGGACTACTAGTTTGTATTGAGATTGCAGTCCATCACAGGAGCAAGCTTGGAGCGGTGGGAGTAAATAAGAAAAAAAAAGAAAGTGTGGTGTGCAATATAGTGTAAAATGATATAGCAATGAATGCAGCATGGCACCGGCTATTGAGGACTACAAATCCCAGCAATTGTACATTATACAGCACAATACAGAATACCACCAGCTATAGAGGAATACAACAAATCCCAGCAATAATATATTATACAGCGCAATGCAGAATACCACCAGCTATATAGGAATACAACAAATGCCAGCAATACAATATAGCTGGCGGTATTCTGCATTGCGCTGTAGAATATACTATTGCTGGGTTTTGTAGTCCTCTATAGCTGGTGGTATTCTGCATAATGTATTATTGCTGGGATTTGTAGTCCTTTATACAGCGCAATGCAGAATAACACCAGCTAGAGGGAAACAACAACAAATCTCAGCAATAGTACAGTATATATGTAGTGTATAATGTACTATTGCTGGGATTTGTATCCTCTGTATAATATAGAGCACAATGTACCATCAGCTATAGAGGAATACAAATCCCAGCAACACATTATAGAGCACCATGTGGGGGGGTTGTGCAGGCTTACGTGAGCAGTCTTCCAGCAACTTGCTTCTGAGATCGGGCCTATCGGCGATTGTCATCCCCCCACACCTGCTCCTCCTTACTTCTTCTCCCCGCGCCCCTGTGCCAATCGTGGATGTGGGAGGGCGGTGAGCGTGATGCGGGGAGGAGGTGCGGCGTGTGGAGCGTGGATGTGGGCGGGTCTGGCAGCGGCGAGCGTGAGGTGGGGGAGGAGGTGCGGCGCGTGATAGTTGTTGCAGCCCTAGTCACTTTAAGAGCAAAAATCACACGTGGACTTGATGGACCTGTGTCTTTAGTCAACCTCAAATACTATGTAACTATAAAGGTTATTAACTACCACACATCTCCCTCAGTAGAGAGAAGATGCCCATCACCTACAGACATTAGCAAAAAACTGATGATCTACTGGAGGGGGTGGGGTATTATGACAACCCTCACAGCTCTGGCCAGTGTCCAAACACCTGGTGATACCAGCATATTACCCAGTCGTCTCTGGATTGCCTGTGTCCTGTACTGTATGATAAAGATATATAAAATTACACTGCATATGCAGAGTTTTTTTTCTCCTTACCTTGTAAGGCTACAGGAATTGCCTCAGTTTGTATTTTTGTTGGCAGCTTCCATCCCAGTTGTTCACATGTTTCACATAACACATCTGTGACACCCTACAAAAATATAAAATAAGCTAGGTGTAAGGTATGCATTATCTGTCATTGCCAGTCACAACAGAGTTTAAAAGGGAGTGAAAAAGGGAATTCTGTCCTCACCATAAAATGCTTTTCTTTATTAAAATCAATCGGGCACACAGTAGACCACTGGGCACTGAAAATCAAGACGCACCCTAAGGCCCCATTCCCACTAAGCGACACTTACCTCGAGTGGATTTCTGCACGGCGGGATAGCGCAACTGTTGGGGCGACGATCGAGCGACCTTCACTGTCGGGCTGCATTCAAAAATAGCAAAATTGCGCGACATCCGCAAGGGGGAAAAGGGTCCTGCATTTCAATGGATCCCAAATGCACCTCCCGTCTGCAGTGTGATCGCCCGCACTGTACGTGCGGTACTGCAAAGCCCTGTGTTGCGTTGCAGTGCCATTTAAAAAATGTGCATAACATTTTAATTCTGAAGTAAACTTTGTCTAACACATTTGTGTATTTAAATAAATCATGGTATTTTTTTTAAATCCAACTAATCAAAGTTAATAATCGGCTAACTATATAGAAATAAATCGATAATTGCAGCCCTAGATTATTTTGTCCAATTTTTTTTTTGCTAAATCAGTTTTTACAAAAAATAAAACAAATTAAATACCATATTTAATTAAAAATACACAAATAGAGGTCTTACAAAGTTCACTTAATAAAACTGGGAGGAGAGATGGGAGGGGAGAGGAGAGGAGAGATGGGA